TCAACTCTAGCTATATTTTTTAGGATATGTAAAAAAGTTGGTTTCATATTGTACATGTGTACCCCAGCACAGGTTTAGTAAACCCTTTGGAAATTACTCTTTCAACTGTATCTCATTTGTTAGTGTGCTTTCTTATAGGTGCCTTTTAGAAAAAGCTGAGTATATAAATTAAATATATAATGTTTTAATATTTATAATACATTTATTGGATAGATGGAGATTTGGGTAATATATTAAGCCTCTATTGTGCACTTGGTAACCATGCTTACAAGAAACCAAGTAGAAATTAGGAAGATAGTAGAATAACTAATTTGTATGAATTTATTATATTTATAAAGTATATTAATTAGCTTTTAAACATCATTGACTATAAAGATACTTCCTATGTGTTGTCTCTGTACTCTAAAGTCTGTGAGAATGATGTCTTTTAGAGTTAGGTTTGGCAGGCACCTGTGAAATGAACCATTATTTATCTCTCACACTTACCTATGTGCTATTCCCCCGAAAGCCCCCTTAAATTCTGACAGTAAAACTGGAGTCCAGTTGCCTTTTTTTTTTTTTTTTTTTGAGACAGAGTCTCGCTTTGTTTCCCAGGCTAGAGTGAGTGCCATGGCATCAGCCTAGCTCACAGCAACCTCAATCTCCTGGGCTCAAGCGATGCCTCAGCCTCCCAAGTAGCTGGGACTACAGGCATGCGCCACCATGCCCGGCTAATTTTTTCTATATATATTTTTAGTTGGTCAATTAATTTATTTCTATTTTTGGTAGAGACGGGGTCTCGCTCAGGCTGGTTTCGAACTCCTGACCTTGAGCAATCCGCCCGCCTCAGCCTCCCAAAGTGCTAGGATTACAGGCGTGAGCCACCACGCCCGGCCCAGTTGCCTTTTTTTTTAATGTCTTAAAATAAGAACTGTGCTAACTTTTTTTGTCAAATTGGGAATGTCAGAAGAAATTTCTTTAAGAATAACAGCAAACCTGTAAAACATCTGAATTATTTTTTTGAAATGTCAAACTTCAGAGGATCTGTTATTTTTTATACACTTTTATTAAAGAAATCAGCCTGATGAATACTATATTTTAGAGGCTTTTATCTTCTAGTTCAAGTTATAATTCTAGAAATATCACCTAAATAGAATGATTCTTTAGAATTTGGCTTATAAAAATAATTTATATATATTTGTTTGATTGATTTAGGCTTTCTAGAATATAATGACACATTATTTACAATTTTATGTGTTGTTTCTCCTGTGTAAAAAGAACACTAATTTTAAGTGAAAAGTTTTAATACCGTGATACACTCTCAAGTCACTGGTGTTAAACAGGACAACTTTATAGGGGACAGCAGCAGTATCTTATCTTTACTCTGTTACCATATAGATTCTATTCTGACTTTGGATTACTGGCCTCTTACTCAGAGTGTTAGGGAATCTGAGAAACTCTGAAAAAATTACTTCTTTCTGAGAGATGTTACTTCTTTCTGATCTGGTTCTAGTCAACCAGGTAAAATGGGATTTGAAACATTTCCATAAAATAAAGTTTACCAAAGTTGGATTTAAAAGTTCTTCATCTGTGAACTGAAATAAATCAGATTATATAACAATGTATACATGGTTACTGTTCCTGGAAAAGATACAGTTACTGTTGTTGGAACTTAGAATACCTGGGGTTCAAATTTTCAATTATGCCTCTAAAAATAAGGGAAGAACATGTTAAAGGAGCTGCCTATAAGTTGAGGTGGAGTCCCTCCACTTATCTAGGGCCATTGAACAGAAGGGAGAAAAAGAAACCTGTTAAGTATTATGTTGAGGGAAGAACAGTGAAAACTGTTCAGTTAACTGGATTGATTATCTGCTATATACAAGGCACTCTGTTTGTTAAATGTAGTGAAGAATATATAAGATAAGAATATTCCTTTCCAGCTACTTTGCATTTTAGTGCAGAGGCTCTGACATTTTTGAAATTAAAAATAACCAAATTATGTTCAATAATTAGAACCAATAATTATTTTTAAATGTTTTCAGAAAGAGGAAGAAATAAAGAGAAAAAATTGACAGCTCAATAGAATGACAGAAAGGGGGAAGCAAGTGCTCCAGAAAGAGGCACACTCAGATTAAGAGTATTCTTTTCCTTGGATTGCCTCTGAAGATGATCAAGGCAGTTTTATATGTTTTCAGCTAGAGGCACAAATGCAGTATTCATTTTTAAGTACTTATTCTACATAGGATACAGGAAACTGAGTTACCATAATTTCCAAATTAACTCATATATGTTGGTTGATTTCTGGTTACTTTTCTTGGAGTTGGGAAGAGAGGCCTAGTTCTCCACTCTAGAATATCAGATCTACAGGAGCAGGAGTGTTAATTAGTCTGTCTTGTTTACTGTGGTGTTCCAAGTACCTAGAACAATGCCTGGCATGTTGTAGACTCTCAGTAAACGCTTTTGAATTAATTACAATTTAGAAATGTAAGGTTCTATAAATTGTGCTTTTAAGTCTAACAGGCAGCTGTCAACTCTGGTGCCCATGCCTTTGACATATGAACTTTTTTTTTTAAATGAAGAGATTAGATAGTGAGTAGTTAGGGGGAACATCAAAGATGAGTCTTAGATTTGGAGCCTAGAAGTCTGGGAATATGGTAGGGCTTCAAATGAAACAAGAACCATAGAAGATAATAGATTTAAGAGGGAGTGGGATAAATTTAGTTTCAGAAATACAGAGATTGAGATGTCAGACTTGGTCCAGGAAACTGAAGATACGGGTGAGCAGTTACATATGTAACCACCTTTACATAGAGGCCATAGTTGAAGCCGTGATTATAGATGAAACTATTAATGCAATAGTGATGGCCACCATTTGTTGAGCTCTTGCTATATGCTGGGCACTGTGCTTTATATATTGATATTTATGTATTAATTCATTTCATCATCATATCAACCTTGTTAAATAGATACTACTCTTTCCCATTTGTTAATTGAGAATACTGAGGTTTAGCAAGATAAAGTATCTTTCCCATGGTCACGTAGATGATAAGTGGTAGAGCTAGGTTTTGAGTCTAGACCCATCTTACTCCAGAGTCATCAGCTGGCGCCAAGGGACAAAGCTGCATAGGAATATTAGGAACTGAGCAAAGTGCACTGAATACATTTTCTAGGAATCATTGGTAACCTTCAAGAAAACTCTTATTAGAGTTCTGATATAGGGATAGAGATCAGATTGCAGGGAGTTAAGGAATAAATGAATGGAAAATCTTGTAAAAATGAAAGTGGTGAGTTATGTTTTTCCCCCCAAGAAGTTTAAAAATAAGGGGAAAGGAATAAATAAGACCATAAGGTGAATTTGCAGGGACAAGAGAATTTGGGAATTTCATTATGACTTTTATCATATTTTAGGATTTGATTCATGCATGCATGCATTCATTTATTTTAGCAAGTATTTATTGTGTGCCTGCTCTATGCCAAGTGTAGTGGAGAATAAGACAAGATTACTATTGTCATGGAACTTAATTTTAATGGAGGCAGGTGGGCAGAGGTAGGTGTCAAGAAACAAATAAGAAAATAAGTGAGAAAAATAGCAACTCTGATAAATACTATGCAAAGAATTAAAAATAGGTTATAACATGAAAGACTGTATCTACATGGAAATTTATATTGTGTGATAGAAAAGGCCTATTTTAGAGATGCTTTTTGACAGTGTGAAAGATAAGAAGACAGCCAATAAGTAGGAAGAGAATTCTAGGCAGTGACAGTAGAGAATGCCAAGTTTTTAAAGTGGAAAGAAGCTTGACATATTGAATGGAGGCTAGTGAGCCACAGGGAAAGTAGTATGAAATTAGAGGTAGGTGGCTCACACCTGTAATCCTGTCACTTTGGGAGGCCAAGGCAGGAGTTTCACTTAAGGCCAGAAGTTTGAGACCAGTGTGGGCAACACAGCAGGACCTTATCTCTACAAAAAATAAAAAAATTAACTGGACATGGTAGGTAGCACATGCCTGTAGTCCCAGCTACTTGGAAGACTGAGGCAGGGGGATTGTTTGAGCCCAGGAGTTGGAGGCTGCAGCCAGCTGTGATCATGCTAGTGCACTCCAGCATGGGTGACAGAGTAAAACTCTGTCTAAAAAAAAAAAGAAAAAGAAATCAAAGATAGGCAGGAGGCATCATCATGTCATGTGGGACTTTGTCAGTTGGCGTAAGGATTATAGATTTTTTAATTCTATATTAGAGAGTTATACATGATCTGATTTATATCTTAAAAGGAACACCCTGACTGATGTGTGGACAGTACATTTTGTGGGAGGTGAGGACAAGGAAAAGCATGAGACCGGTTAATAGGCTTTTGTTCTTAAGAGATCGTGGTGGTTTGGACTGGAGTCCTAGTAGTAATAGAAATGGTGAGAACTGATGAGATAGGGATATGTTTGGGGTAGGATTTAACAGGACCTGCAGATGGGTTAGATGTGGGGTTTAAGTTGAAGAGGAATCAGTGACTCCTGCGTCTGAACAACCGGGTGAAAGAATGGTCTTGCCTTCTATTTAAATGGCATTTTGAGATGGAGACCTGAGTATGATTAGAGATTGAAGTGAAGGATCCATTGGAAGGAGCGATACTGAAGTTTTCAAGGAAAGTTATTAACAATGTAGCAAGGTGCCAAAGGACATGGGTACACAAGACAAAGCTGATTGAGACATAATTGTAGGTATTAGCCTTAAAAACCAAAGGCAAAGAGACATAAGACAGAAATTTCAAGATAGAAAGGAAATAAGTTAAAAAGCACAAATTAGATGACCCTTCATCTTTAATAAAATGCTAAAACTGTTACTATATTCAATTATGAACAGCTACCTACTAATTGTTTTGTATTCCTCATATTAACTTTCTAATTTAAATACTGTAACCTTAATTATGTTCACCTTTGTATAATCTATTACTTAGTGTGTATGTATATTTGTGTGTGTATGTGTGTGTGTGTATATATATATATATATAAGTTTTTTTTTTTTTACAGGTTGTAAGTTCTACAAATGGAGAGTTAAACACAGATGACCCTACTGCAGGACGTTCAAATGCGCCCATCACAGCCCCTACTGAAGTAGAAGTGATGGATGAAACCAAGTATGCATTTGTTTTGCTTGTTTTAGTAACTTTTTGTTCTTAAACTATGCATGTTTGAGATTTATAGTCATACAGTTATTTCAGGAAATTTTTTTCAGGGAATAGGTGCATGTAAAACAAGTTGTATGCTTAATGATTTTAATTACAAAGTTTAAAATTATGCAATTCCAGTAAATATTTTAATAATACAAAGATAGTTATTTAAGATCTGTGTTCAAATTCTTATTTAGAATTAACAGCATATTTTTTGCTTTTGATTTTTAGGAATGTTGATGCATGAAAGTAATTGCTGTACTATTAATAAACATTTTTGTGTAATCATAAGAATAATTATAAATTTTATAAAATGCTGCATGCTGTAATATATTGAATTAGTTTTTAAAAATATACATTATTATAACACTGGAAAAATATAAGCATGAAAAACAACATGATAATTTCAATTTGGGCTGTTTCTGATAATTTCTCTCTCTCTCTCTCTTTTTTCCCTTGTATTTTTTTTGTGTGTGTGTGTGTATAGCTGCCAGAAAGTGTTGAACATGTGGTGAGTTCTCAAGTGTAGGCAGGCAGAAATAGCTCCGTTGACTGTGATTTCAAAGATTTCGCACCATTCTGTGTTTTTTGAAAACAAACCTCTTAACATAGAAATCATAATTTGTGGAAGTTATTTAAAAGTATTTGATATCATTAATATAGCCCTGAAAAGGAAGAAAAAATTATTTGAGGAGCTCTTTTGCCTGCTGCAACTTTTTTGCTTCAAGTGACATAGATTTGGGGCCACTTTTTAATTGCCAACCCTGCTTGTGCTTGTGGATTCCTTTTGTAACATAGTTGTTATTTTCTATTTTAAAGAGAAAGATAGGTTTTTGAATTAAGCTTTCCTTTTTCCTGTTTGTAATTGTCAAATTCATATAGCACATCCTTTCCTTCACGAATAGTGTCACTAAAACAGTATTTCATTTACTAACCAATTATCATTGCTTTGAATACAATATTGATAAATTTTATGATAAACATAGTGAGAAAGTAATTTAAAAATTCTCATCTAAATATTTCGTGATAATTTCAGTTATTATGAAAAATAATATTCTTATTAGTAGAAATATTAAATTCTGACATTTGCCTTTAGTTGTAATATGTTTACAATGCTTCTCAGTTTCAAGACAAAGTTTGAGTCAGCTCTTGGTGTGAATAAATTACGAAGTTGCTCAGATTAGTAAATTTTGAAGCATTTTATTCATATACAAAAGGAAACTTATGTAATTTTTAAATCAATGCTCATTCGCTGGCTACAAAATGAGGAAACTTTTGCAGATACTTCTTTTTAAAGAGCAGTGACCAAATAGGCATTTTAATTAGTTTTGACTATAGAATTTATTGACAGTGTGACTAAGTTATATACTTGTGTGTCTTTAAATAAAAAAATCAAAACAGCTTATATTTGTGAATTTTAGGTAAAGTAGTAAGTACAGTTATGAAAGTAGAGTGGCAATGCGGCAGATTAGAATGCACACGTCCTTTGCATTTAGAGATAGGTTGTAAAATCTTATTTCTGCCACTTATTTGTTAACTTTCATGAGAGCTTATTTCTTTTTCCATAAAATGAGGCTAATAATATCTACTGCATAGGCTGTTAAGCAAATTAAATGTGATAAAGCTCTGGTATTTCATCTGGCACATGGCAGGCTTTCAGTAGCTATTATCACCCCTATTTATTTCTCCTCTTCCAGCTGCCAGTGACCTTTCTCATCTGTGTTTTTCCTGGTCGTGTGCAAGAACATCCAGTGTCCTATGTTTTCTCTTCCATACCTGCCACATTCTTCATCGCAACTAACTTTTCTGTGTTCACATTCTCCTAGAGACCTGTTTTCAATCAAATCTATTATAACATATTTATCTGTTTATCCATTTGATTATACTGCTGAGATTTCAGAAATACCTGACAGTGTCCTTGCTCTTAAGTAGATTATAAACTAGCAGGGAAGATTGCAGTTGTGTTACCAAATGTTAGGATATGATTAATACTATGAAAAAGGCATAAAAATTGGTTAGAGCTTCTAAAGAAAAAGATTATTTTCTGACTGGGATGCTCAGAGAATGCTGTATGGGGATGGCTTTGAAGAATGGCATAGTAATTTATTTAGTTGGGATGAGTGTGAATGTGTGTGTTTATGGGTTTGGGTCTCTATCTGTAGGCATTGGAAGATGAGAAGGAAGAAATGGTGGGAAGGCTGTTCCTGAAGGAAACATTCTTCATTGCTTGGAACAGCATGTCCTGATTCTTGGCATGGCACCAGGCTCTTCATACCTTTCATGTGGTATGATAGGCCCTGCCTATCTTTCCAGCCCCATTTTCCATTCTCAACCCTATATTCGTTGGTTCCTTAAATCTGCCTTTGTTATATTATTCTCTTTATCTATCTTCCACTTCTTGAAACTTCTTGAATATCTTGAAAACAAAGCCTTTTTCATTATCAGATCCTTAGTGGCTAAAACATTATGCCTCAGTAAATTATTCCTAAATAATGTGATATACCCATACAATGAATATTTGACAATATAAAGCAATGTAATTGAAGACATTATGCTAAGTGAAAGAAGCCAGACACAAAAGAACCATGAATTTTGTGATTCCATTTAAATGAAATGTGCAGAATAGGCAAATACATAGGCACAGAAAAAAAGATTAGTGATTACCTAGGGCAGGAAAAAGGAAGTTAAGACTGATAGCTAATAGATAATGGGGTTTCTTTATGGTGTGATAAAATGTTTTAAAATTAGATAGTGGTGATAGCTGTACAACTCTGTGAATATACTAAAAACCACTGAATTAGATACTGTCAAAGACTGAATTTTATGATATATGAATTATATTTTAATAAAATGGTTGTTAACAAAAAGAGAAAAGATAGCAACCCATGAGATCAGTGAAACTTTAGTCTAGGAGGGTTCAATACATCAGAACTTTCCTACTTCTTTACTAGTTAAGAACTCTTTAAACACATAAGGTTTTATATTTCCTTCAATTAGGTTTATTCTTACATTTCTGCAAGTTTATTATTGTGTTCCTCATATCCTCTTAGTCTGTGACTAAGAAATGTGAGCATGATTTCCTTTTCTTTTCTTTTTTTTTTTCCTTAGAGATGGGGTCTTGTAATGTTGCCCAGGCTGGCTTTGAACTCCTGGACTAAAGTGATTCAAAGTGATTCTCTCACTTCAGACTCCCCAATAGCTAGGACTGCAGGCATGCGAGCCACTGTGGTGCCTTTTTCTAAATTGCATCTTCTTTTCTCTCTGCTACCATTTTACAGGTGGTTAGGGACCTGCTTAGAATTTCTCTTTCAGAATCTGTTTCTTTTCCATCTTACTTCTTACCTGTGATTGGTAGAGATTCCTTTCACCCCATCCCATTAAGTAGAATGTATTCTATGATGGACATTTTAGCATCAAGTTCCCCAGACTAGTATCTCACTGGGGCAAACATACGATTTCCAAATGATGGAAAATATTCTGTTACTCCATTTAAAATGACTCCTTCATTAGTAATTAGATTTTGCCTTACTTGTTTACTGTAGTTGAGAATTTTAAGACAAGTGATACACATGATAGCATCCTCATCATTCCTTTCAGGAATTTAAGATCACAATGTTTCCTTTAATACTGTTATTTAGTTTTAAAATATAATGAAACCATCTTTCTCTTTCTCTCTCTGTCCCTCCCTCCTTCTCTCTTCCTCCTTCCTCTCCATCCCCTTCTCCCCTACTGTTTTCTTCTTCCAGCATTTACTGAACAGATTATTGTATGTTTGCTAATATAGTAATGATGAAGATATATGAAGGTTTATATATTAATACCATTAGGGAGGGTAGAAAGTACACCAATGACTTGTACGGTGGTTCTCAGCCCTCACTTCACATTACAGTTACCTGAGGAGTTTTAAAAATATACTAATATTTAGGCTGTACTTTCAAAGTTTCTAAAATTTTGAATCATTAGTATTATTCATACATTTTGCTAGTTGCTCTATGGTAGAGTCTGGTTATCAGTATTTTTTAAAAGCTTCCAAGGAAGCTAAGGACATTCTAAGGTGATTCTAAGGAGAATAAAGGTTGAGGGACATTGGTCTAATACAGGGTATTGCAGGATTAGCACTGTAGGAGAAGGATACAGTGTTACTGGAGTTCAGAGAATGGAATATGTACCTCCAGCTGGGAAGATCAATGAGGTCTTCGTGGGTAAGGATACATTTGCACTAGTTCCCAAAGATGAGTATGATTTGGCAGAGGAGATTGGTAGAAGTCAGAGAGGTAGGAGGAGTCAGAGAGAAGAGATTGAGCTCCAATGATGAGCAAGGAAAAATGGAACCAGTCAGAGGAATAACTCATGTGTGTATAGAGTATGTGAATACATTAGTGGAAGCTTAGGTAGTCTAAGTTCCCAATCTCAAAGGGCCGTGGTAGGCAGGTAAAGAAATTTGAACACTATCTTTCTCTATAAGAAAGCAAGCCAAGAAACAATATGTGATTTTAAGGGAAGGAGCATTAGAAAAATTAATTTGACAGCAGTTATGAAGCTTACGTTACTTCCTAGAGTTGATCAGATTGCAGAAAATGGTTCAAAAATATAAATTAAGTTTTCCTATGAAACTAGATGGAGAGTTTATTTTGGCTCAGTAGTTTTTAGTGATTAAACTGTCATTTAAAAAAATGTTTTAAGATGACTGTCTTGGATCATTCACTTAGTTTCTGCTAAGTGTTTAGGACTTGATAGTCTCTAGAACTATAAAGATGAAAAAAACATATGTTTCCTCAAGAGATAATCAGTGAAGAAGAGAGAGGCATAAAAATTATAATATGAGGTGATAGGGAATGTAAATTATAATATGAGGTGATAGGAAATGTAAATTATAATATGAGGTGATAGGGAATGTAAATTATAATATGAGGTGATAGGGAATGTATAATTTTGCGGGGAGAGGGTAAATACATTATAGGTGCAAGGAGGAATATGTGCAAAGATAAGGAGGTACCATGTGGTATGTTCTAGGAATGACAGGTAAATCTTTCCTTTTCCTTTTCTTCTTTTCTCTTTTCTTTTTTTCCCACCCTCCCTCTTCTTCTCTCTCTCTCTCTTTCTCTCCCTCCTCTTTTTTTTTGTCTGTAGTTTAGGCTGCTTGAGAATGAAGCCTAATGGAGGATAAGACTGAGAGGAGAATGGAAATAGATTAGAAAGCACATTTTGAAGAGCTGTCAGAACCATTGATGAGATTTAAGAGGGAAGGGACATGGCTTGTTTATGATGGGGCAATTTGAATGGCAGATTGGAGTGAGTAGAGACTTATACCTGGAAGTCAGTTAAAAGGCACTTAGCAATGGTGGAGGCAAGTTGAAAAGTTCTGAATTAAGCCAGCATGAGAAGATAGGAAATTTTTGGAAGTCATTTCAGACTTAAGGGACTAACTACATATAGATGGAGAAGAAGAAATTAGAGATGAAGATGGGTATGCAGGTTTTTAGTTGGAGTAGTTATATAAATGGATGGTCTTGTTCTCTGATCTAAACTCTTGTTGCTCAACTAAATAGTTCCTCATTTTTTAAATCAAGAGATCCAGAGATAAGAAATTACATTTCAGATATAAATTTTAAGGGGAAGAATCCTTTGTCAAAGAATTAAAGATTAGCTGTCATCATCAACCCAGGTCATGAGAGGATTGGTTCTAGAGTCCTAAGTGGGTAGGATCTAGAGGCACCAGAAGTCTCTCAACCAAGGGATGAGCCAATAAATCATTGTAGAAAGATAAATAAGAACTTCATATCTAGACAGGGAAACAGGCTTCAGTGTCTGGGTGGGTTTGAGAAAAGGAAGTAAGTATATGACATAAATCTGGGAAGATAAGGCAAATTGTAGATGAAGAAAAAGGCAATGAATGAAGTAGAAATGGTGGTACAATGTCAATAGCAAATCCTTGACCTTTACTGTGTATGTTTTCTACATAGTGCAGGACTTTGATCTATTGTGATTTCTTGTTTCCTGAACAGCCTTAGATTTCATCAGAAGCTGGACTTAACATTTATTCTGAAAGGATTTTGGATTAAAGATGTAGCTTCAAAGATTTAGGCTAGCTACTAAATGATCATGTCATGGTATGACCCTGACTTGTGAGAGCATGTTGGCTCACTGGAACTACATAAGGAATAACAAAAAGCCAAAAGGCAAAATAAATAAATAAATAAAAAGAAAGAAAGAAAGAGAGAAAAGGAGAGGAGGGAAGGAAGGAGAAAGAAGGAAGGAGAAAGAAGAAAGAGGAAGGAAGGAAGAAGGAAGAAGGAGAAAGAGAAGGAAGAAGGAAGGAAGGAAGGAAGAAGGAAGGAAGGAGGAAGGAGGGAAGGAGTGGAGGAGGAGGGAGGGAGGGAGGGAGGACAAATGAAGCCTTAACAAGAAAGAACATGGTTCAAATGTCTAGTAAGCTTAGTCAGTTTCCCCAGGATAGTTGCAAATAGTCTAGATCTGAAGAGACTTCAAATGAATATGAACTAATGTGTAAGAAAATACAGCCATGGGGCAGCAAAGAGAGAAAATGTATTCAGAATTTATAGGTGTGGATAATTTTTTAAGGCTAGATAATCAAATTTGTTGATAAAAATGACTTGCTGACATTGAGAGAACTGCTGTATATGCTAATTTCTGAAATTCTTGCCATTATTTGCAGTAGTTCTGGTCAATAACTGGTGTTTTCTTTTTTCCTTTCAACTCTACCAAGCTGAGAAATTACATGGTCTCTGTTTATGCTTTTGCCTGCACTCGTATAAATTGAAAACATGGGTCCACTCATGACCTGCAGTGCTCAGCTCATAGCATCCAGGACTGAGGCCCCATTGGAAATGGAGAAACAGGAGGGGTGGTCCAGCAGTTACGTCTAGAGAGTCATGTTTCTTGACCTTGGGTTTCAGACTCCTTTAAGAATCTGATGTAAACCATTTTTCTACAGAAAAGCCTTACATAGGCACTAAAATCTTTATTTTATAAGATTTCACTAGGGTTTGTGGCCCATGGATAAGAACTCTATCTTTAGAATATGCTTTAGCATTTTGATTGCATTCTTACTCCAGGAGTCAGTTGCATTTATGAGACAAATCACTCATTTATTCAATAGATATTATACGAGTACCAACTTTGTACCAATTTGTTGGGGTATATTATCTGTGAGCAACCTTCATAACAAGATTACATTCTAGTGCGAAGGCAGATAATAAACAAATAAAAGAATTTCAAAGTAGTAGTTAGTAATTACAGTGAAATAAAACAGTAATATGATAGAGTGGCTATATGGCATAGCACTGTTTCAGATTAAGTGCTAGAGGTGGAAGACAATTGAAGTGTGACCTAATTTCTTAATTACTAAGACTATAAATGAGATGTTTTGATAATGACTTCTATCTTGATAAATAAGCCATAAGGTTAAAATATCAATTTACCTCTTCTGTAAGTAATACCATATTTTGAGAGCATCTCTGTTCTCTTTGTATTTGGACACATTCATATCACATAAAGCAATGCTACCCTCTGGTGGTAGTCATTTTAATAGCATACCAACTGTTCTTTTGCAAATATGTTAGTGAGATTTGTTTCTGAAAAATAGATGTCTTTTTTAGATTGTGTTTGAATTTAAAGGGTCTGTACCATTAGAATTCATCTGAATATATTATGCACTCCCAAATAAATGCTTGGCATAGATTTCTATGTTCAATAATACTTATGCTGTTGAAGGAACAGTTACTTAAATGGGAAGAACTTGACTCTCAGAACTGAAAGCAATCCTGGAAAAATAAACTAGGCAAGATGAATTGCTAATACAAGTGTGAAAAATCAGGGACTTGGACTTGTTTATTAAAGCATGTATTATATTAAATTTCCCATTCAAAAGAGCTTATGTAACTTAAAATACCTTTTTAGTAGAAAATTTTCAAAAGAATCTATTTTAGAATTTGAAAAGACTAATGTCTTTTCAAAGTATTTAGGAACAGAGAATGTTATTAAATGAACTTTATATTAAACATTTAATGAGTTTCTGTTGAAATATTACCAGATTCTTAAACTAAATATTTTAAATATTTGTCTGTTTCTTCTATATCCCTATTTTTCATGTTTTGCTTTCTACCATATAGATATTTTCTGACTCTTTTCCTAAGTCTTTAATTGAAAGGTTCATTTTGAAATAATGGTTTTTATATTTATAGAGTAATTTGGCTTAGGTAATGTGTTTTGCTTTTCTATTTTGGAAAATTTATATAACTGGGATTTGAGAAAGTATTAGATAGCTGACAGTTAAAAATAAATTTGACTTATTTTTATAAATCCAGGAAAAATCTATTATACCTAGGGTCTTATTTTACCATGGCAGCTCTTCTCTAGACCATTGACTGGGTAATTCATTTTAGTTCTTTACAGTAGTTTACCAGCTTAAGAGTAAAATTCATAATGATTCATAACTGTACATATTTCTAGTTGAATCTTTATCAGCTGATACACAATTTTGACGTATTCACAGTCCGTGGTCTAGTCGTTGTGTGTTATTTGGTACACTTAAAAAATACGATTGTATAATTTGGTTTTCAGTGCCCCTATAGTGAGTTCATAATCATGGCATAAATCATAATAATGATATGAAATTATTTTGACTAAAGATAATGTGGGTAGAGAGATTGTATAATTTAACTAGACAGTATGGATTTCTGTTTACATTTATCTTACAGAAATATATAAAACATATCTAGCAGTTATTTCATCTTCCATAATCTTTTGCTGGATAGGAAACTTGAAGCAATATGGTCCCTATTATGCTTAGTTTGCAGATGTTGAGTAATATTCTTTTATGAATGTGGGTTGATAAGAATTATAGGAGCATCTTTATAAGGTCATATTATGCACAGTCTTTGAATTGGCAGCTTTTGGTGATGAAATCATTTATATAAATACATGCATTACAAAATAAGGCTTGCATTACAAAATAAGATTTATAAACACACACCATGCATACAAATATACCTATGCATACCATGCATTACAAAATAAGATTTAGAGCATACACACACACTCTGGACTTCAATGATGGAAAATTTAGAGATAGCCAACTATGCTTTCCTATGCCAAAAGTAAACTCAATCCTAGGAATTAGAAAGTTTTTTTAAAAAAAGATGCTTCACTATATGTAGTGCCTGTCATTTTGTATGTTCTGATAGATTGACATTCTTTCAAGTGTGGAAGAGAAAAAAATGCTATACCTTCATACATTTATTTGAAGGAATGCCAGTCTTTTAAGGTGTGTGTGTGTGTGTATGTGTATGTGTGTATTGTTTTTTGGGGGTGTTAGGAACTGATTAGTGATTCTCATTTTTCAGTTCATAAAAGCCCCAGCCTTGTTCTGTAGCAGCCATGATGTGTTACATCTTCTCAGGACTAGGAGAATTTATTGTGAGAAAAACTAGTTTTCTCAGGGATCATGTCTAGGAATCAAAATCAGAACTTAATTGTTTTAAATACATAGTTTTTAATTACAAAAACTAAATTACCTTGATTGTGCTATTTTAAATGTTAAGCATAATTTTTACCTTAGCTAAAATAACTTACATTAACCTTGAGTCTTTAACTTTTAAAGAATTAAAAAGTGCCAGTCTTGACATTTTATTTAATATATTTTCTCTTTTCCAGTTTGTAAATATGATGGAAAATGTTTGTTGACTAGTAGATATTGGATTTTTCTTTTTTATTTTTGGAACCTAAACTGATTCTTGGTGAAAATAAAATTTCTAATGTTAGGATCATTATTACCTTTTTAATAATGGCCTCAACAATCATATATAAATATCAGTGAGAAAGGGAGAGAATGCATAGGACAAATATCATAAAAGCACACCACTGTCAGAAATTATCGAGCATCCTAAGTAAAAATGGTGGGTCAGTTGGGATTCAGAACTCTTTAGCTTCTTACTTTGTCTTGGTGCAAAGCCTTTTGAATTTAAGTGGCTCCTTTTTATGTTGCATACAATGTCTTGCTATTCCTAAAAGGCATGTTGATGGAACATAATAGTAATAGCTCTGTCATAGTTTCACTAATGCTTCATTGGTGTATTCACTATTCATCTTGCACCAGCATGTTGCTTTTTATGACCATTTAAGTTAATGTGATAGATTCACCTTTATTAGTAACATTTTTGTACTTTTATAGTAATAAGAGTATTTCCCTTATCTGCAGGTGCTGCTGTTTTTTCAAACGAAGGAAAAGGAAAACCATACAGCGCCACAAATGACTCTGGACACAGACAGATAATAGGGAGTTGCTTACGCGTTCATCTGCTGTCTTGTGATTAAATCATCTCTGTAGTGACCACGTATATTTTCAAGGACTCACTCTTAGAAACAAAAATGTCATCCTTTCATACTTCATTTTGTGGTTGTCTTACATTCATATTTTTTTCTAATTTAACTTTTATGGAAGCTTTAAAGTTTTGTCAAAACATGAGTACTTTGCCCATCGATGAATGGAATGGACCAGTGAGGTGGTATTGATGAATGCAGTTCTATAGAACATTTTTTAGAAGCTCTTCTCCTATTGTAAAAAGCAGTACAGTATCTTAAATGTCAACCAGTTATATGCCTAATTTGGTTTTCTATAACTTCTGTAAGAGCATAATCGAACAGGAATTTTTCCCCCAGTGGGTAATGCCACAGAGAAAACAGCATTGCCCAAATGTTTAAAAGAGAAAGTTCATATTTTGTGACATCTGCATTGATTTCAGTATTACTGATGGTATTGTTATTCATGAATCATATTAACATTCTCTCTGTGAAATCATGGTACAGTCACCGCCCAGAGGTACTGAGGAAAAAGCTCTATGGGTTTGGCAGATGGTAGTGGTAAAATGAATTGTAAGTAGTGCGGTAAATATGAGCTCTGCTTTTGTTGCACCACTATGTGAAGTACCGTGTTGCAGAATTGGCAAAAGTGCTTATTTTTAAAAATGCAAAATATTTGTATAATGTAACTTTATGCTTCCAGATAATAATGTATGTTAGACAGCAAGAAATGAATACTTTAAGAAATGATATATGTTGGAGTTTTAAAGAAATACACTAAGGAGAAGAAATAAATGTGAACCTCGTTGCAATGTATAAGGTTGAAGCCTAAGGAGATCCCACTGAAACCTACTGCTGAATGATTGCATTCTCTCTTAAGCAGAAAACTTTGAATGTGCCATGCAATGGTGTCTGTTTATTAATTATTTTGCTCTTTGATAAAAAAAAAAAGGACCCCAGCAATAAAAACTGGGTTACTCTCTTGCCCTATGTGAGCATTAGTCTCTTGTATTCAACTTTGCTGTTTCTCTGGAATTTTCCTATTCTTTAGCATAATTTTGATGATTGAAAAATATTTTGGAGAGGATGGGTCAGGTGCTTTGCCTCCATAGTCTTTTGAAGTGCCTGCATATGAACAAAGAAACAATTCTGGTAAAAAGGAAGCCCATTCCACTTTTCAAGTATGCTTTGTTTTAAGCCATGAAGACACAGATGTACTTTTGTCACATTCTACTAGCCAGAATTTTTAAGAGGGATTAAAATAAACAAACAAACAGACAGGCCACAAAGATAATTATGTTGAACAAATCTCATATTCACTTTTCATTTCTAAAATTGTTACTTACTCCTTCCATGCAGTTTTTCCTTTGTTTTTAAGTGTGTGTCTCCAGGCATGCGTATTTATTTTTATTATCTCAAGGTAACATTTAAAATGTGTGTTAAAGTAAATAAATCCACATTTTTTAAACTTCATTGTTGCATTTACAGGGATTTAATTGTATTTTGTAATTTATTTTTCTTATTAGCCAAAAGTTTAATGCATTGTTTTTGAGGAATTAGGCACCCATATGAACACCACAAATCAGGACATTGTTTATCATTGTTGCTTTGAATCCTGTGAATGATCTTTTCTTGATTTTAAAGACTTCACACTCAGCTTAGGGAACATTTGCTGTATAATTTGGTGAGTAGTTTCCATTCTATTTGTATACTGTCATGATGTCTTAAACTACAGGAATTGCATACTGAGTTTTTATTTTCGTTTGCTTTGAGCAAGGTAGATGGATGTTTTGGCCATTATAATGTGAAACCACTTCTTTCTTTACAGTATTTGACCAAATTTGTGTGTCTATGATATTTGTAAATACATGCGATATCTGTATTTCTTATCATAAGTCTATTTAGTTTTATTCTTAGTAGGGTTTTTTGGATTGTACAGTGTTTATATGATCTGAACTCCTTATACATAAGAAGGTGTGTATATTAATCCAATTATGGACTCAAAATATTTTAAAAGTATAAGTACCCTTATTTGCTGCAAAGACCAGTGTGTAGACATTTGCTTTTTAGCAATATTTTTAAGTGCTCCATTTTAATGCCAAGGAATAAGTCTTTTGGCAACACAAACTGGTCAATAATAGGTAATGCAGGTATGTTCAGGTTAAGCCAACAATGTTTTGCATTTTTATGCTTCTTTTCTGTCAACACTAATGAAGTCAACATTGCCTGAATGTCTGAATAATGAAACACATCCCTGTTTAAAAGTATGTAACTGAAAAAGAAATAAAAAATAAAGGTAGTTTTTTTAAACTTGCTCTTTCCCATTTCCTCTAATCATGGGTAAAATAATGCCACTCACTAATTTAAGATAGGAATTTTAATTCAATTCATTTAGTGTATTATAAGTGAGAGGCAGAATTAAAGAAATATGCTTCTGCTATTTTGTTTATGTTTTATTTTGTTTTGGTCAAACCTAGCTGTAAAGAGCACATACCAGGAAAGATATAAGCTTTATTTAATGTCTTAATTTTTTTTAAAACTTCTTTGAACTGGTTGATAGAGCAATTAATTAATGTCTTCTGATAAATTAAGGGAAATCATTCTTTTTTGAAAATGAAAACATACAATCATGTTTACAGAAAGTAAGCACTTATTAATACAGTTTTAGGTTGAGGGCTTAAAAATCTTTGCAAATGTAGAGTATATATTTGTGACAGTAACTCACAGTTTATCATTGTGCTTTAAGCGGTTTTACACAATGGCATTAATGGTGCTCTGCTAGCAGAAGGGTGCTACAAGTAAGATAAGGCAAAGCAGGACACATTCAGCACATGAAAAATGTGTCCATTAAGCACCAGATTCAGAAGAGGAGAAAGATCTGGAGAAATACATAAGTAATAAAAGGCTCTATGTGGAAAAATCCAACTTAAGATTGGGGTTCTAATCTGAATGATTGTATAGTTGCAGTAGTCAGTGGAAACTTCTTCTGGCCGGAGCAATAGAAGTGTACATGATCTCATTTAACTGAAAATTCCAGTGGTAGGACTAGCTTTAGACATGCTTAATCTTAGCATTAAGACAGAAATCTTTCTTTCTCCGGATGTTTGGCTTTCCACTCTGCTGTTTTCACTATCAAGTAGACTTTCCATGTGTGATGGTTAAGTGGCCACTAGCAGCTTGAGATTTCTTCTCTACCATCTTAGTAACCTCAGCAAAAACAAAGTCCATTTTTCTCAACAGTTCCAACAAAATCCTAAGACTGACATTCATTGGTTCACATGCCCAACCCTGAGCCAGTTACTATGGACAAGGGAATGTTGTTATGCCAATAGCTGAACCTGAGTCATGAGTTGACCTTCAGAAGACACTTTGGACTGAGAAATAAGGTAGAAGGGGTATTACCCAAAAGGAAATTAGGATATTGTTATCAGACTAAGAATGAATAGCTACTGAGCAGGCAAAATCAACAGATATCCACCATCGTGCTGAAAGAAACAAAATATAGCATAAAGCCAAACTCAGACTACTTGTTTTAAATTAGAAAACATTATCATTATTATTGGGAATTTTAGAAATCTGAATATATTATTAGAAATCACTTTTATAGTGAATGAATACATTTGGAAAATGTTTTGGACTCAGGTAAAAAGGCAGGTTACTAGTACCTCATTTGGTGTGTTTTGTTTAGCTTTTCAGGGTTTTAGTGATAGAATTGGATTAGAAGATTAAAAACTATTTTTTGTACTAAAGTGCAAATAAACAGAATTATCAAGCTTGGCTGATGTTCAGGATACCTAGTTTCTTTTCTGCCCGGCCCTAATACAGACCTATGTAAGTTATTTTCTTAGATAATTTATTTCTTCTTAAGACTACATGGATCGTAACCAAAGAAAAGCACTATATATAGAAGTACTATAGTACTATATATAGTATTATATATAGTGTGTATATATGTATACACCCACACATACACTATATGTGTGTGTGTGTGTGTGTGTGTGTATATATATATATATTATATATAGTACTATATATATAGAAGTACTGTCAGGTAATATTATTGGGGTATGAAAATGGTTGTGTTAGAAATGGTTTTGCTATGAGAATGGTTTTGTTAGAAAATTGTTTTGTTAGAAATGGTTTTGTTAGAAAAAACAATTATTCATTGGGTTATTTACCATACTATGATTTTACTTAAATGGACAATCACTCTGACATGTTTCTAGACTAGGGGTTGGTAAAATTTTTTTGTAAAGTTTGGGTTTTATGTGTGAAGAGGCAAAATTGAGACTATTATATACTTATATAATGAGAAAGAAAACAAATTTCCACATGTTTTATTGATAAAATTCCAAATACATTAATACTTGAATACAATTTTTTTGTAATACAGGTGTACTAATAAGGATTTAATTATTTTGAGAAAGCAGTATTTCACTAAATTTGGATTTGAAATCAGTTGCAGGTCTTTGTTAATGCAGATCTGTAATGTGATCTTTTGTATTTCATCTTTGAAAATGTCATTTCACACAGATAGATACTACCAAATACTGTTATCAGTCCTTGAGTGTGTGATTTTAGTTGAACATATCATCATTTGGAAGGTATTTATAGAATTCTGTTAGTTTCTGATTCTGCTCTTGATATTTGTCTTTTAGCATATCATTACGTTGCAGATTAATCACTTGTTTTGAAAGTTAGGTGGCTGCTCAGTTGTATGTTTAAATTGGTATTGAAATATGAAACTTTCCTTTGCACTTGAATTGAGGACCAAAAATGCAGCTGGAACTGTGGTTGAATTTGGGTATATCCACTGCAAGTTTGTGTGGGAATGGAAATCTCGTTTTGACTTGATAGCATGCGAAGTGTATAAAACAGTTTGACATTACTTGTGATTTAAACATTAGTTGTCATCAAAATGACCTTGTTGTGGTGTAAGTTTCACATATCAGTGCTGTTTTGCCTGGTAATTTTAGGTTGACTTTATTAAGAAATATTACCAAGTCTGCAGCAAAAGCTAATTTTCAGAGCTATTCAGTGTTTGATAAAAATAGTTTGAGAGTGATTCTTCTCATTCTTACAATTTCAGTCTTGGGTCTGAGCTCAAAAAATTGCAATAAAAGTTTACCACTGCCATCAAACTGCTATGTAGTTGGGAGAGTCAGAATATTCAACTTCTATTTCTGACAAAAGTTAATGGAACTGATGATTAGTAGGACCACGAGTGCATGAAATTCACCATTGACTTTACTAGTTCAGTAACATAATAGATTCAGATTTTTCCATAAAATACCTGCTGATGAATAATACAATGTATATCCATTGACTTTAAACATCTGACATTTTCACAAGCTTTGTAAATTTGTCCAACTTTACTTTTTTTCTGCTCCACATGTATTTTTACCACCATCGATTGCAACACATCTTAGCAGATTCCACTTCAGGTTGTACTGAATTGATGTTTTCTCAACTTCTTTGAAAATATTCTTTCTTGTAGTTCTTTCATGCAGACTGTCCATAAAGGCTATTTCTTGAGGAACTTCACAGTCAGCATTGACTTCTCATGTGAACAACAGCTGGACAGTATTGGTAACATTTGTTGATTCACCAAAAGCCAAGAAAAAGTACTTGAAATTATTGCCTTGTTTTTTAATTGACTGTTGGTGTTACCTCAATGTCCTCATGTCTTCAAGCAGTGGTTCTTGCTGAAAAGCTAGTAGGCCTAAACAAGTTTATTTTTTCTGAACACGCTTTCTTGTTGCTGCAATCAAACACAACTTAATTAACTCTGAGTCACCATCAGCAAATAGTTTTCTTTGCTTAGTTAACAAATGAACCAATCAGGCAGTTACTTTGCACCCTTATCTTCAATTTTGTTAATAAATTCTTATGTAATTAGATATTATCTTTTAAATTTTCTGATTGTTCTGACTGTTGTTTTCTTGTGAGTTGGGAATATTGTGAAGAGTGCTTAGTCTGAAAATACATTCTTTTAGCAGAGCTAAAGTGTCAGTGCATAATAAAACACAATGCTTTGTCCTATAGTTGTGTAACAAAATAATCCACACTCCACTGTGCCTTAAAAGCGCAACACTCAAAGTTCACTTTTTTAAAACTTTTTTTGACATGATGAATATGCACTAGTAAAAAATAATAGAATGTATGACAATATGTGTGACACTTGAAATGCTGTTGAATTATAACAATCACTGAGATTTGTAGTGTGTTGAACAGCAGTGTGAAGCAATGAAAGCGCCACATATGGTCTCTGTCACAACTATTCAACTCTGCCTTTGTAGCATGAAAGCAGCCATAGACGATATGTAAATGAATGAGCATGGCTGTGTTCCAATAAAATTTTATTTATGGACACTGAAATTTGAATTTCATATAATTTTTATGTGTCATGGAATATTCTTTTGACTTTTTTCAACCATTTAAGGATGTAAACACTCCTCTTAGTTTGTGGGCTGAGCAAAAATAGGATGCGGACTGAATTTGGCCTGTAAACCGTAGTTTGTCAACCTCTGTTCTGTACAACACTGAAAAGATTGGGATGTTTGAAGTGAATTAATTTATACCTCATTGAATGAAACTGCTTACCAAAAGATGACATTTCTTCCCTTTATAAAACATAGGGACATTTTGATATAGCATCAGGAATTAAAATATTAAATACAACCACAGCACATATGGGAGTTAGAAATCAAATGAGTTAAGTCTGGCTCTCATATTGAATATAGATGTTGAAGCAATGTGTCATTTTGGAAAAAGTATGAATTTTGATATTAGACAAATTTGATTTGAATCCAAACTTCTTGTGAGAACTGTGGCAAGTTATCTGACTTCTTACCCATACTTTCCTCACCTCAAATTGAAGATAATGCCAGCTTTGCAGTGTGGTTCTGAGAATTAGCAATAATCTTTATGATAGCTCACAATGCAAGGTATCTTTTACCATTACCTTCATAGTAAAGCACAATTTTAAACTGAGCAACACTTTGATTTCTCATGCAGTGTGTATGCTTTTGCTCTTTGAGACAAGAATCAGGTTTGTATTTGTTAAATTTGTCTTCCTATCTTGAAGCCATCATTCCTATCTGTTTAAAAATACTTGGATTCAGGCTGGATGTGGTGGTTCATGCTTATAATTCTAACACTCGGGAGGCTGAGGTGGGAGGATTGCTTAAGCTCAGGAATTTGAGACCAGCTTAAGTAAGAGCGAGACCCTGTCTCTCCCAAAAACAGAAAAAATTAGCCAGATGTGTTGGTGGGCGCCTGTAGTCCCAGCTACTTGGGAGGCTGAGGCAG